TCTTTTTGAGACAGGGTCTCCCTGTAGCCCCAGCTGGCCTGGAACTTACTTATGTAGATCAGGCTGGCCTTGAACTCACAGAGATCCGCCTCTGCCTCCTGAGTGCTGGGATTAAAGGTGTGTGCCATCACACCCGGAAAGCCTTAAACTTTTATTATAAGGCTGTTGCTCTGAACTTTTATAACTAGAACTGACTTTAATTGGATCATAGCAGATACACAGTTGTATAGTATGAAAAATGAGTCACTGGATTGAATTTGAGGGTCAACTGTACCAAGAGAGGTACCATCACAGGGGCAGACCTCTGAGTGGGAGCAAAGTCAGAGAGCAAGAGTGAGAGCGAGAACGAGCGAGCAAGAGAGAGAGAGAGAGAGAGAGAGAGAAAGAGGCTCAGCAGGAATGTGTGTGTGTGTGTGTGTGTGTGTGTGTGTGTGTGTATGTCTCAAGCAGGTGGAACCAGCTGTGTGTGTGAGGCTTAGGAGAGAAAAGGTAAACTGAGGGCCAGTATAGGAGTAGATGGTCTTGCTGTGTGGTAGGAAGTCCTTGAAATTCATACTCAGTCCCCATTCTCCAGGTCCCCAGCTGGCCGGCCTGTGGCTTCTTACTGTGGCAACGCAGCTCCAGGTGGATGGGATGTAGGGGCGCCTCCTTTCCTCTACTGCCAAGGCCCAGAGATCACAGGTGCTTGGGGTGCTGCCCAGTTCTGCCTCATAGGCTAATTGGAAGGGAGGTGGTCTGCTGTCTGGGAAAGTATAGGGGCAAAGTGTCAACCTGCCCTGGAAGTACCTCCCATGAAGAAAGACTAGGAAAGAAGGTCACAGCCTTCTGGAATCAGGTCAGGAAATAGGTGAACCAATGGTGGTATGACACCAGGGATGGAGACTTTACCAGGACTCAGATCTGAACAGCGGCTCAGGATCTCCCATAGAAGCAGAGCCAGAGAGTAAACATCTGCTCTCCGGAGGGCTGTACCCCAGTCCTGTAGGTCTAGAGTCTTGTCCAAGAGCTCTGGTGCCATGTACCTCTGGGTGCCAGCCTGGAGAATAAGATGTGGAAGGCCAAGAATCACCTCTATGGCAACCTGCCCTGCAGCCCTGGTCCATATATCCTTCCCAGTTACAGACTATGCAATGTCCCAACTGCTAGCATAGATGCACTGTGGTCATCAGCCCCATCATCATCTTGGGCCTCACCCTTATCCAAAGCACTTACCTCCATGATGGCAGCTGGACCCCGAGGTTGAGTAAGGGCTGAGGCAGGGGGTTGAGTGTGGCCAGGGAGCACTAAGGCAAGGCCTAGGTCTCCGATGGCACATGACCTATCTTCTCGAATGAGCACATTCTGACTGCTCAGATCTCGGTGGGCAATGCCTGGTTTATATTGACCTGTGGGGAAATCCAATGTTTAAGGAACACAGGTCATTTGGCTTTCCTCTAACCAGGCCATCTTCAACTGAACACAACAATGTGGCTCTTGACTTCTCTGGATCCCTGCAACCAGTTCACTTACCATCCTGCCAGCGTTCCTCATGGAGAAATGCCAGGCCCTGGGCCAGGGACAGTGCCATCCGCAAGGAACTTCCCAAGTCACTAGTATACTGAGTCAAGTAGTGGCACAGGGAGCCCTGGGGAAAAGCAGAGAGAGGAGGCGGGCACACAGAGCTGGAGGTGGATCATCCCAGGGAGCAGAGATCAATTGACACTCTTCCCAAACCTCCTCAATAGACAGAGACACCCTGACAGATCCAGGTCAAGACACTAGACAGTGGAAGTGTCAGAATGTGCATCCATCAGAGTGACAGAAAAAAATAGTAACACTAGTGGGGTGTGGTGCCTCATTCCTGTCATCTTAGCACTTGGGAAGTATAGGCAGAAGAATCAGGAGTTCAAGGCTGTCCTCAGCCACATAGCAAGTTACAAGCCAGTCTAGGTTTGAGACCCTGCCTCAAAACATCAAAAAAAGAAAAAAAAAAAAAGAAAAACTTTAACCAAATATTGTGGGACACATGTGTAATCTCAGCACTCAAGAAATTCAAGCAGGAAGCTCCAATGTTTAAAGCCCAGCCTGAAAGAAAAAATAGCTTTAGATCCACTATACTGAGTACTCACTATAGCCCAGGCTCAGGCACAAGTTTTTTGTTTTTTGTTTTTTGTTTTTTTTTTTTTTTGGTCTTTTTGAGACAGGGTCTCCTTGTAGCCCAAGCTGGCCTTGAACTCACTTTGTAAACCAGGCTGGCCTCAAACTCACAGAGCTCCGCCTGCCTCTGCCTCCTGAGTGCTGGGACTAAAGGCATGCACCACCACACCTGGCCAGAGAAGTTTTTTTCCTCTCTTTTCTGCTTTCTTTTAAAAATTTTTTATTACATTTATTAGTTTATCTCTGTGTGTGTGTGTGTGTGTGTGTGTGTTCACAGGAAGGCATGTGGTACATTGAACATGGGGGAGGTCATACGATAACTTTCTTCCATTGGCTTTCTCCTTCCACCATGCAGGTTCCAAGGACTGAACTCAGGTGATCAGTCAGGCTTGGTGGCAAGCACGTTTACCCACTGAGCCATCTTGCTTGTTAACTTCTTTCCTCCTTCCTTCTTCCTTCCTTCCTTCCTTCCTTCCAGGCTGGCTTTGAACTCAAGAGATCCTCCTGCCTCTGCCTCCCTCCTTCCCTCCCTCTTTCCCTCCCTCCCTCCTTCCTTCCTTCCTCCCTCCCTCCCTCCCTCTGTCCCTCCATCCCTCCCTCTCTCCTCTCTCTCTTTGAGGCAAGATCTCACTAAATATGTATGTATCCTTGCCCTCAAACTTGCAGTGATCCTCCTGTTCTACCTCTTGAGTGTCAGGAGTACAAGCACGCAACATGGCACCTGGCCAAAGTTGGAGCTTTAGAAGAGGCTGAGTAAACTTGCTTGAGGTCAACTGGGGGGAAGAAGTGGAGTTTGAATTCAAGCACTCTGACTCAAGAGTCATATATGCTGGCTCCGAGGATTCAGAACAAAGGTAGTCAGGGGCATACCTCAGACCACCTGATCTGCATAGACATGGATAGATAGAACTAGTAGACAGGGAGCAACTGGGAATAGGGGGCAAAAAAAGCAAAGGAGGTCCTCATCCAGTGATATACTGAGTTCCTTCAGTGTGCCAACAGCTGTGCCTAGAGAGCAATGTGACTGAGGGACAGATGATCATGACCGTACGAACACAGAATACAATAACTTCCACAACGGAAAAATGAACCAAATGCCATGAACGGGAAGCAATAATGATCAACCCTATTTGCTACGTAGAACAGTCTGGCCTCAAACTCACAGAGCGCCACCTGCCTCTGCCTCCAGAGGGCGCCACCACACCCAGCCTCCCCTTCATCCCTTTTGCTCACTGTTTTCCCCGAAATATTTTAAATTTGCTATTATTATTACTGCTACTGTGTGATTATTGCTGTATTATCACTGTTACTGTATTATTATTACTGTTACTCTATTATCTCTGTTACTGTATTATTACTGTTACTGTGTGATTGTTACTGTATTATCACTGTTACTGTATTATTATTACTGCTACTGTGTGATTATTGCTGTATTATTACTGTTACTGTATTACTATTGCTGTTACTGTGTGATTATTGCTGTATTATCACTGTTACTGTATTATTATTACTGTTACTGTGTGATTATTGCTGTATTATCACTGTTACTGTAGTATTATTACTGTTACTCTATTATCTCTGTTACTTGATTATTACTGTTACTGTGTGATTGTTACTGTATTATCACTGTTACTGTATTATTATTACTGCTACTGTGTGATTATTGCTGTATTATCACTGTTACTGTAGTATTATTACTGTTACTCTATTATCTCTGTTACTTGATTATTACTGTTACTGTGTGATTGTTACTGTATTATCACTGTTACTGTATTATTATTACTGCTACTGTGTGATTATTGCTGTATTATCACTGTTACTGTAGTATTATTACTGTTACTCTATTATCTCTGTTACTTGATTATTACTGTTACTGTGTGATTGTTACTGTATTATCACTGTTACTGTATTATTATTACTGCTACTGTGTGATTATTGCTGTATTATCACTGTTACTGTAGTATTATTACTGTTACTCTATTATCTCTGTTACTTGATTATTACTGTTACTGTGTGATTGTTACTGTATTATCACTGTTACTGTATTATTATTACTGCTACTGTGTGATTATTGCTGTATTATCACTGTTACTGTAGTATTATTACTGTTACTCTATTATCTCTGTTACTTGATTATTACTGTTACTGTGTGATTGTTACTGTATTATCACTGTTACTGTATTATTATTACTGCTACTGTGTGATTATTGCTGTATTATCACTGTTACTGTAGTATTATTACTGTTACTCTATTATCTCTGTTACTTGATTATTACTGTTACTGTGTGATTGTTACTGTATTATCACTGTTACTGTATTATTATTACTGCTACTGTGTGATTATTGCTGTATTATCACTGTTACTGTATTATTATTACTGTTACTGTGTGATTATTGCTGTATTATCATTATTACTGTTATTGTGTGTGTGATATGTGGATCAGTGGAGTCCATGCCGTAGTGCACAAGTAGAATCCGGGGACAGCTGTGTGGAGTGAGTTCTCTCCTTCTACCTTTAGTTGGGTTCTGGGGATGGAACTCAGGCCCCCAAGGTTTACCTAAGAAGCATCTTTCCCAGCTGAGCCGTCTCACCAGCCCCTCAGGTCACATCTTATTTGTTCTTATAGTACCAGTGCCCTCTCTTTCAGCTCTTAGCACACTTCACATTCGGCACTTCTTTCTGTGTTTATCTGTTTCTGTGTCCCTTGCTAGTCTATAAAATCTATAAAATCAGTAACTGTGTGTGTTTTCCCAGCATCTAGTACAGCTCTTAACACAGAGTCTATAAATATTAGTTAAGTGAACATATGAATATGTTGGACAGCTATACCTGGATATATTTAACAATGGCTCACTTTGTGTATGTGTGTGTGTATGTGTGTATTTGTATATGTGTGTGTGTGTATTTGTGCATCTGTATGTATGTATGTATGTGTGTGTATATGTGTGTGTATATAAGTGTGTATGTGTGTGTATGTGTGTGTATATGTGTGTGTATGTGTATGTTTGTGTCTATGTGTGTATGTGTGTGTATGTGTGTGTATGTGTGTGTATGTGTGTGTATATGTGTGTGTATATGT